TCTTTTATGGAATAATCTTTTTTCGACTGGAACAAATCCTGATCCCGGTTTTAACGCGTAATCTCATATCCCTTCGTACAAAGAATATAAAAATCTCCAAGGTAGCTCACGTGGTACGATGACATTGCGTCGCTCGAAAAATTTAGTGAAAAATCGAAATTTAATTAAGTAACAACAAAGAGCAACAACTAACGCAAAGTCTCGCGTAACTCCTAACTCCTATTTACTTATCAATTGGAAGAGAGTGAGAGGGAGAAAAGTAAGTGGGGAAGAAAAACTAAAAATAGAAATGCGCTATTATCACGTCACGCGAGCTTTTTCCTTTCATTGAATTTTATTATTGGACAGACGCATATCCGTTACACCGTCTGGGTCTTTTGCAATTAATATACAAAAGAAAGGCAATTGATGAAATATATATCTGTAATTTTGAATTGATTGTATGATGGAAATTTAAATGGATACATTTTCTCGAAATTGTAATTAGATAAATAATTTTTACTTGGATAATAATTGACGAAAAGACAGAACAATTAAGAATTTATCGGTAAATAAAACAATGGAAATAAATCGAAGGTTTACACATCGAAAGATACATGCTGTGACTTTATAAATACTACTACCTGTACAACGCAACGTGACGTGATAATGGCGCGTCCACCGTTAAAAAACGACACTCAAAACAGTGTAATTGTAATTGTAATTTACTATTTGTACATACGCAAGAGCTCGTTCATGTGCGTCTCGTAGATCATCTCTTTTGCAATCGAAACTTGTATATCTCTGACACACGTACACACACATACACTTACACACACACAGACACACACACACGGTACACCCAACATCTACATACAGGCACACGGACAATCCACAAGGCGCATGGATCAAAACAAAAAATCGAAATCAGCGCGCTAGATTGCGTTAATTGAGTAAACTCAAGTCAGTTTATTACATCGCCCCGAGGAAACAACGTTATTGCGAAAAGGAGGGAATATATAAGGTAAAATCGACTCACACGTACATGACCCACGTAGAGCCACGTAAGAAGGCGATTGCGGAGACGTAGCTCCACGGCACGGCATGGCACGTGCGAGCGCGCGCTGCCATTATCATTATTGTTCTTATCATTATGGTGATTATTATTACTACGATGATGACGATTATTATTACATATAATTGAATAAAACGTTCACCACGGGAAACAGACTCGTCTCTCTTTCGCTCTATAACCCATTCCTCTTAAAAAAAGTTCCCTTTTAATTTAGACATTATTATTTACATGCAGATAGCATTACAATAATCGTTGAATATTCGGTATTTAAACACAAAAGTGTAAGACATAATAGAGTCAAGAGTGAATAATTATATAAATTAATTTTCACTCATATTTCTTAATTAAAAACATCAATAAAACTAAATAATTTCTATTAATTTTTATTAGTTATTTTAATACTATATGTTTAATTTTAAAATATTAATAATATAAATAAACTGAACATCCTGAATTCTATCCCACGTCTGCTCGTTCGATGCCTTCTTGAAATTACTCCTCTTATCCTTTTTTCATTTACGGCACTTGCACGTAACATGCACCCGCGAAAATATATCGCGCGTCATTCGCGCGTCATTTTGCACGGCAAAATCCCGATGATAATTGAATTTAACGCGCGCTTTATTATCTTGCACCGCAAAAATCATGAAGCGCGCGAAATACCTCGCATCGGAATTTCATCCGCATCGGATGCTATACCTATATCGTCTTCTCGTGCACTTTTTTGGAAGGGAAATAGCTACCTTGCATTTTATGACGACTACGATCTCGCGCTATACAAAAATAAATAAATGTATGAAGCAAAATCGGGGATAAATATTCGCGAATCGAAATACCGGAAATCACACTTGACACGGCTTCCTGACCGACTGCTCGCGCGATATGTATATCCGACCGAATAAATCTCGTGAAATACGTGTCTCGATGAATAGTCAACACGTAAACATCGAGTTTACGCTACGTAATCATAAATATTAATTTGCACAGCTTTTATGACTGTTTTTACCAACTAAATGCGTCATGATGGCGCTCTGCTCAAGCTTCGATCCGCGTGCCGTACCCGTTATATTCTTTACCGACCGACAAATTTGAAAGCAGCTTTATTTCGATGTCGCGTGATATATGTATAACACAACTGTGAAGTCATGAAAAACGAAATTAAGACCCGATTAATACCACACTCAGAGAAATAAATAATCGAACAATTCGTTCAAAAATTAACAAATGGATAATCCGATACTTTTAATCGGAATTATGAAAAGCCGATCAAAATTAGAATAATGTCCAATCAATGATAGCCGGATATCATTGATATAATTGATCGGCTTTTTAATTATTCCGACTGGAAGTGTCGGATTGTCCGTTTGTTAATTTTCGAACGAATTGTCTGATCATTTAGACCTGGATTTTTCTCTCAGTGCACAAACCGATCAAAAATATGTATATGGTTCGATATCGGACATGCAAATGCATTTTGAACACGCATATCTCATAAAACGCGCCGTATTAATAAACGATGTGTATACAAATACATCGGCTCAATGCATCGCGGCTGTTCGCTGCTTGATTCGTGATACTATTCCGCTCTTTTATTCCCGAAACTGGCAAACGAGCGCGTTCAAATCCGACAAAAAAATTCCAAGCGCATATCGCAACGGGCGTTATTCAAAGATAGATCAAGGAAATAGTCGTCGCTCGTATAGACGAATAAATCGATGGGATAATTTATCGCTTCACTGCCTACTTTGTGATGAATAAAATGAGATAGATAGATATTTCAATAGATAGCCGTCATTTCGATTTGCACACACTTGCGAGTCGTTGATCTGCGCAGATCGCTCGCTCGCTTAGTGGTCGAATAATCGCGAAAGATAATCGTAGAAATCTCAATGTTCGGCGAATACCAATGTCTGTCACGATTCTTGCCTCGAAATGTAATGACACGATGATATATATACATATAATGATATGCGGACCGATTCGCGCTGTTATCTACCTGCTTGAGATTCGCCACACGAATGATAAGTTCAGAGCGCGCGCGGATGACTCATCGTATATTGTAAAATATGTATAAATTCGCCACGTGCCTCAAACAACGTGTCGCCTAACGTAAATATTTAAAATCTATGTATGTATGTATGTATGTCGAATATTTTGCTCCTTCCAAACAGAATTTAAATTGCAATTCTTATTATAATTATACATATACACATGTACATAGCGTGTAATGTGAAAAACATTTGAGAAATCAGAGTACAATACATATGTAAAATATACATTAAAATATGTACATACATACGTATATTTGAATATCAAATTGTAAATAATTCTGCGTATAAAATTATAAATAGAATTCTGCTCTAAATTTTGACACAAATTATAAATCGTCTAAGTGATCTTTACATAATAATATTGCTCTTGTTTTTATTATTTATAGATAATAAATTGAATAAAATATACCATGACGTAGGTATATCAAAATGTAAAATTATAAATAAAATTCTGTCCTAAATTCTGATCTGAATTATAAATCGTCTAAAATAATCTTTGCAAATAGAATTCGGAATAATATTACTTCCGTTTTTGTTATTTATAATAAAGTAAAATATTCATCACATAGATCAATCTCTTCTTCTATTTCTATTTCTCTATTTCTCTTAAATATTTTTCTTCCTACTTTTTTTAAATTTAAATATTAATATTTATGCAAATAATATAAAAAGGTAATAATTTTAACAAAAATGACAATATCTCAAATAATTTGTAAACGTTATAGAAGCCACCAACAAATTATTCTCCCGGCACTGTTTGTAAATGATATAATTTTAAATATTACTGCATACATATCTATTTCGTAAATTATTTTAATTTTTAAATAGCCACTTTGATCGTAATTAATTTACTTTTATAATTAAAATTGTTTCTTTTTCCGAAATATCTATCATTTTTGCGACAGATATTTTCAAACAAGTTTATTGGTTTATTAGCTATAAATCTTTGGTGCCAGTTTCTCATTTTCTCAAAAAAAAAAGCAAATAAAACAGAGTTCTGCTTTACATTGAAATTTTTTACTTCGCTTCGTAAGTTTCATGAATGCCAAGCGTTTGCTTTGCCACGCAGACAAGAGCTAAGCTTGTTTTCGTTTGCGTCATTCGGCCAGCGTGGGATTTAGACGTAGGGTTTGACGTAAGAAAGAAGAAATGCACGAAAGAGCTGAAACACTCCGGCGCTCTGCTATATTTTGCACGCCATAAAACATCGACCAGCAACCACATCAATCGCACTAAAATTGTATCAAGAGTCATTCTGCCCGAATTACCCAATCGACTTCTTCAACAAGTGGTGATGTCTTGCAAAAGTAAGATAAAATAGAACATTTATTTTTGGTTTGCGCTTTTATCAGATGTCATTCAAGATGATAAAAATTACAAGAAAGAAGAAAGAAATAAAGCTAAAATGTGTGGAACTATATACATATATATATATATATGTCTTATAATTATTTCATTATTTAATAATGGATATAATATTATATAATATTCAACTAAAGATATATTCAAACCGAATAAGAGACATTTCGTCTCGTCTTCCAATCGTCTCGTCTGGCTATCATCTTCATGACAATACGACCATTGATTTTGGTCTTTCTAAATTAATATTCTAAATATTAAAAAATTTTAATATATTTAAAGATATATATATATTTAAAGATATATTATATAATAATTAATGGCTCTAAAGGCCGGTTGTTCCAACCTGTTGGTAAACTAACTAACAGTTAAATCATATATATGACTTTGTTTATTTTTTACATTAGACAAAGATAAATATATAATTTAACTATTAGTTAGCTTACCAACAGGTTGGAACAACCGGCGCTAAGTCTGCGTGTGTCTGATATATATCTTATATTAAAATCTTATATTAAAATAATATATTTATATTTATCAGCAATATATTTCTCGACTTCAAAATATATTGTTTGAAAGATAAAAATATTTATTAATAATAGAAATCGATTTCTCATTTGAAATGACAAAAACAGAATGCGCATGAGTTGGATCACGGAAGTGCCAAAAATAGAAGTTTGTATAAAGTTCTCTCTTCACAGTTTAAATTCTCAGCTGATCGATCACAAGAGGGACAGTCCCCTTATAAAACGAATATGCACGTAATGCTTAATCCTGTTAAGGATCGCGCGAGGGTCACAGATTGTCGCAAATTCGCACGATTCATACGTGTAAAGATTTTGAAAAAAAGTTTGCTTAATTACAATTTAAGACTGCAAACTGCTATGTAATTTGACTAAAATTAAGATTAAATTAAAGACAAATAAAATTGTAGACTAAATTAAAATCACATAAAATTGTAAATTAAATTAAATTAATCTTAGCATTTCAACGTTCACACGATAGTTTTAGAATTTTGTAGATAATTTTTGAATTCTGATTCTCTCTTCTGAACTCTCTTGCAAGGATCATTATTATTAATTTGTGCAAAGCATAGAACATGATCGCGTTTGATCGATAAAATCCTTTAGGGGCGAAACGGATGGAAGTGTCAGCGCGATTCCTGAAGCGTGCAGTGAGAAATGAAACAAGGGAATTAGAAATGCAATTTGACTAAGCTTCCATTGAGTTTCTGGATTAAACGAGCCGTAACCGGTTGCACATGTCGATCTAATTTTCGACAACACGTGCAAGGGTTTCTCTGAGGGTGGATCGATTCGCACGTTATTTCGCGGTTTGGCCTCTATTTGAAATAGCTACAAAAAATATAGTCATATAATTTCCCATAAAAATTTATTATACTTTGCCACCACCACAAAAGCCATTTCAAACGATTCATAATTCAGATTTTACAAAATAGAATTCTATTTATAATTTTATAATTATATATCATTCTATTTATAAATATTATATATATATATATATATATATTTATATATACATATATATATATAT